CTTCAACACTCACATCAGCGTGCTCACATCATTCATTCAGTCTGGTATGCTACTGCCACTCAGAGGGACCTGAGCAGACTGCCGTGCATCATCCGCCCTGCCGAAAAGGTAATTTGCTGCAAACTACCTTCTCCACAGGATCTACACACCTCGAAGACTCCAAAGCATACATGTCAAACTCAAGGCCCGGGGGCCCGCTAAGCCGTCTTGTGTGGCCAGCGGGAGCTTAATTAGCATTAAGTAAAATCCAAGTAGCAGAGTTTCTTTATTACGTTTTTTTATTACACAGCAATGAACAATATTTGTAGCTTGAATAAATAATAATAAATAATAATAAATCAATTGCAGAAACATGTATTAGTCTGTTATGGAGTACTTAGATCTATACTCTATTCTGTTTGTATCAGAGTCTGAACGACCTATTGTTTAAAATATTACCAGATTATCCTTAAATACAAAAAGTAAATGGATATGTCTGGATTTTCTTTGAATGAAGTAAAAATTAAGTACATTTTTTCACTGTGTCCCGGTACCAAATGACCTATGGACTGGTACTGGTCCAGGCACCGGGGGTTAGGGAACCTTATCTATAAAGGCTTCAAGAGGAATCGGTGAAAATTAGTTTGACACCCTTGCCCTGAAGCGTGAAAACAAATTGCAAACTCTTTAATGTGCTCCCCTGCGGCATGAGGCTGCGGTCGTCCTGGACCAAAACTTCTTGTCAAAAAAAAATTTTCTTTTACATTTGTGTTGGCCCTATCACCAAACAGAAAGTTTATCACACCCCCTACCCACCTTCACACACACACACACACACACACACACTCCTACACATAAAGCGCCGTGTATGACCATCAGCCATCTTGCACTTATTTATACTGTATATTTCCAGCCATAGGCATAAGTTATTTATCAGCAAATAAATACCTCCATGTACATTTTTTACATACTAATGTCATCTACTGTTCTACTGCTTTATATATCTCTGGTATTACTGTATAACTCTTTTGTTTAATTATTTAATCATTTAACTACTTTCCACATATCACACAGTGTACTTTCCTGTGCTTGCTTGCTGCATTTTATGCCACAACAAATTCCTCCTCGTTGATAACCTACTTGGCAATAAAAACATTTCTAATTTTGATAACTTTTGATAATTTTGATAAAAATCTCACCAAAAAGAAGCAAGACTAAAGTTTAACTATCATGTAAAAATTCTAAATAAAAAATCCCATAAATGCTTCAAAATGCAAATTTGTGCCCCAAAATATGCTGCCAAGTGAATAATTTAGGCTAAAAATTCCAAAAATATATCTGAAAATGTCAAAATATGTCCAAAACAAGCAAGACTATAGTCATACTATCGTGAGAAAATGCTAAAAAAAAAATCTACAATAGCTATAATGACTAAGTTTTACTCCATCAAAATTATTAAACATCAAGTCTATATGTCTTAAAAAAACAACATTAGCAAACATTTTCCTTAATGTGGAAAACTAGCTGTATCGATACTATAATAATAATAATCAATACTGTCTCGTATGAAGTCTCACAGGTGAAAGTTTAACTTTTAACAAAAAAAGAAATCTTAACCAAAAATATTTACATCGAGGGCTACTGAACGGAGTAGATTTCTTGAATATGTTTCACATGTAAAACCTAGACCAACCAGTTGCCCTCAATGTAACTATTTGTGGATAAGATGACCTGGATGACTGAGAACCTCGAGACAGAAAGAAATCTTATCTGTTAGCCATCTTGAAACACTGGCATCATGCAAAATAAATTGAAAATGAAAATCATCTTTCCATGTGTAAAACGTTATTCAATTATGTTGCGCAGGATGAAAACTTGGGTCATAGAAAAATTTAATTAGTAGTTTTCCAGTCACCTCAAAACATCCATTAGAGCATCCTTTAGTTTTTTCTAGGCTATATTTGTTTTAATCTGTTAAAATAACAACAACACATTCAGACAAATCTGGATGTAATGTACTAATGACTAGGTTATCATAAAATGTAATTTTTAATTAAATAAAATTAATTTCTATATTGAAATTATTAGCTTTATAATTATTATTACAAACATGCATGTTTATAAAATCATTACTGCCATGGTGTAATGATTTCAGGAGAATGACCCATTTAATTGCCTCCTTGTTTTTTTTTCCCCCTGGCTAAGATGCATGTACTCTCACTTGTTTTTCTCCGGTTTGATCTTCAGCTTCAACAGTAAATTAACATCTGTAACAGCATGAACAGATTAAGACTTTGAGTCAGTTCATCACAGCAAATGTTTTGTTTGATCAGTGCACAGTGCAGGAAGAGGAGAGTTTCCTTCTCTCACATTAATTGTAAAATTCTCATGAGTATGTTTTGATTTCCAGAAAACACATTTTGGACCAATTTGAGATTTATAAATCTTACGTTAGACTACAATGACACAGTGGTACGATTCATGCCCGTTGTGCAGAAGGGTCAAGGTTTCAATCCATGTGTTTGATTGTCTCCGGAGGAACATTTAGGAGAAAGTTGCCAAATCATGATACAAACTACTGCGGTGGTAACGCCAGATGAGAGTAACCAAAGTGTTTTATTTTTCATCTTTAGTAGGTTTTGTAATGTGACCGTGACACAGCCCGTTAAAATTATCTCCAAAGTGTTTCAGTTCAGCCTTCATACAGAGGATGAATATTTTACATAGCATTGCTGAACACAGTGGCTTTACAATAAAAGCTTATGTTTTTACTGGCTTTAAAAATGTATTATGGTCTGTAATCTTCCGGTCCCAGTCATGTCAAGTTTGTAAAAATAGTTCTTTTTGGAAGAGAAAAATAAATTTCACAGACATTGCACAAATCCTAACGCTGTATAAAACCTTGTGGTAAATATTTTGTTGTAAAAGAAAAACAGTATTTCATTCTTCAGTTTAATTTTCACGACAGGAGGGTCCATGCTGTTCTATTTTTACAGTAACAGTCTGGATGCTAAAGATCAAAATGTTCTGTGTCCTCATTTCTAACAGATTATTAAATTGTATCTACATTTTCAGAACAGATGGAACACAAGCTGTATGTATTGCTCTCACCAAAGTGGCTTAATCTTTAAATTAAAGTTGAAATATGTTGGTCTCTAAACGTCTCGTATGATGTCTGTGTTTTTTAAATGTGGATTTTTGGTTTTGTTTGTGCAAAGAAAAGTTGTGTCTCCTTTGTTTAAGGCTTGTTTTAATAAAGCATTTAAATAAAACTGCATCCCAGTTGGACATAAACACCTTTGTTAAATTAAGTCTGACATCAGGATACACCAAATGGGAATTACAACAATTACTGTAAAAACGAATAAATTATTGTAAAGTTGAAAGTGTGTTAGCGTGTCATGAGATATGACCTCTTGGTTAAGTCAATGTTCACTTCACTAGAAACTACTGATTTGTCAAAATGACAAAAACAAAGCTGTTTACAGTCACAAGCTAAATATCGACTGAAGTCTGTTGAGAATCAAAACAACCTGAACCCAAAGTTGGGGAAACTTAACTTTTCAATGAAAGTTAAACAAACAGAAACAAAAGTCTTTCTGCACCTGTTTCTATGAAGTCAGCAGTTTGAAATGTCATTGTGTTCATTTGTTTACACCACTGTTTTCCTCGTGCAGCTCAGGCAGATTTCTCATTGGCAGCTTAGTTGTGGATGG